GGCGGGCGGCTGCCTGCGGGCCGCGCTGGGCCGCGCCGGCCGCATCCGCACGCTGGCCTTCCCGCAGGGCAGCGCCTTCAGCCTGCGCACGGCCGGCGGCGGCTACCRCTTCCGCTGGGTGCCGCGCTGAGCGCGTGCCTCGCGGCTGCCCCCACTGCCCCGCGTGTCCGGCCCGCGCCCCGGAGTCCTGTTGGCTTCACGGGAGCYCCCGGCGCTGGGGAGACCGCGGGCGCTGCAGGCTGCTCCTGTGGAGCTCCTGGAGGCCACGGCTCCCCTTCCAGCCCTTGGGAGAGACGTGATGGCTTCCGCGGCACCCCGAAGGGAAAGCTGCCAGGCTCTACGCAAGGTTTTGCTCAGCTGGACAGGGAGGTGTAACTGGTGGGACAGCGATGAGGGCCGGTCTGTGTCAAAAGGAGCGCAGGGCCCAAAGCAGGTGAAACATCGTGCACCTTCTCAGCCAAGGAATGTGACCAAACCCGGCAGGTCTATCCAACTGCACTTACTGTCACACGTGTGTGCCCCTGTAGGTGCCTTTCGGCACGTGTGCGGCGATTAGGTTGCTTAACATTGTCATTTATTTGTACTGATTTAATGTAAACAGTGTTTTGCATCAGGTATGCATTATTTGCTTTTTTTGGTGCAAAAAATAACAAAAGCCGAGCTCCTACAGTTTACCGTGCTTGATGTGCTCAAGCAGAAAACTACAGAATAAAACATGCTGCTATTAACATTCAGTGATATTATTTCAAGCAAAGAGAAGTTGAAGGACACCACAAAATGTTCTGAATGGCTGCGTTTCACTTGCTAACTTGAAARCTGAACCACTGACACCGTACTTGAAACATCACCTGAGGCTTCCTCTTTTTTTGTGGCTCCTGGGTGAATGAAGACACCATCCTCTACCTAGGATGGCTTAGCTAAGATTTTATATCCACCAAAGTATCATTTTTCTACTTTTCTGTGCCGATAGCTAAGTCAATTTGTATAAATATCTGCAATTCCTCACACATTTTGTGAAGTTGAATGCAAAATGCACAGTGTGCATAACTTTGTAATTCTTATCTTATTTCCTCAGAAATAAAGTGATCTGTAAAATTCTGGTAGAGTGCAACAATAAATAATCCTGGTTGAATTATCACCAGTGGTTTTACTGTTGCTTCATATGGTGGTTGGTTTTGGTTAGTTTTCAGTTGTGATTTAAAAGTAATAGAAAAAAATCATAGCTGTCTTATTTATTTTTAATCTTCCTTATGAATTCAACAGGTTGATAACTGTCTAATCAGGCCAGGCTGCTTCTCACTGAGACTCTTAAGACCCATGGACATGTATGTGTCAAAAGGAAAAGATGCTTGGTATGTAACACTGTATGTTTATAGTGTAATACCACTTGTATATGCCCGGTCCTGTCTTCGAGACTGCTTGGAGTGAGAAAGCTGCCTCTGGCTTCCCTCGCCCCAGAGCGGGCAGGTGCTGCATGGCAAGATGCAGTTTGCTTCAGCAGAAATACAAGAGGGAAAAGGTGCATTTACTTTTAGGGTAGGTGTGTGGGGGCCATAATTTTTAGGTTTCCTTAAGAAGGCAAGAGAAAAAAGGACCTGGATCAACCTTTTCCAGAAATATATACTGTTTCCCGGTGTAAAGGCCATGTCCAAAAACAGCTTTAGGCATGGCTTTTTCCTGGAGGGATAGTAGGTCATTCAATACATTAGAAAGGGAAAACATTTTCTGTTCATGAAGCTCATCTACTTTTCACATGTTTATAATAAAAATGCGTTTCTTTCATGGTCATATGAACTTGTAGGTAAGCAAAGACATACAGGTTTTTGTCTTTAGTTGAGACGGGCCATCATTTCTGACATGCACAAGTTCCTCCAGCTTTCATGCGTACAAAACTACGTGCTGCAGAAGCTGCTGCTCCCGCTGGAAGGGCAGTGGTGGCCCCACAGTGGCCTTGTGGTGGCTCCGAGTGGCCCTGTGGTGGCCAGGATGCCAGCAACACCGGAGTGGCAGCAGCAGCAAAGCGCTACTCTTGGTTTTGGCTCTTCTATTCCAGGCTTGCAGAGAAATGGAATTTTCCTGAGTTTTCTTCTATTGTTGTCCTGAATAATTTTATAAGGAGAGTTACACCTATGCCTAACTTCAGGRGAAAGACAAATATTTTACAGACAGTTTTAAATGACAACAGTAGCCCTCTTCATCYTTTTTTAAACATTGACTTACTTCTGGTCAGTGGCCATTATTTGTGTTTTGCCTTATAAAATCTTAATTGACAACCAAAGTGAGTGAGTCAAAAAAGGCCGTAGTTTGCTTTGGCACAACTTTTCCAGAGGTATACAAGGAACAGCCTCCAAGTCTGCCTTGCAGTTAACACCTGTTTAAACTCTGATGGCAAATGACTGTTTATTTTCCATATTTACCTTTTATTCTTAAAAAAAAACACAAAGAAAAATCAAAATTAATAAATGTCTTTGAATTTATTCACAAGGAGTGATGTCTTTGGCAAAGTATAGGGGTTGCTTATTCAGGAGTGATGTGAGCAATACAGTTGTATAGAGAACTTACTTGTAAAGATGGAGTAGCTAGAAATTGTGAGGTTTATTCTGTTTTTCACCCAGTAAACAGTTACTACAATGGTTTGTACTTCTGTGCTGCCAGAGGACGTATCAGCCATTCGATGCTGCACTCTATCACACACTGACAGACACTGAGCATAAGGAAGATCTTTATAGTACCCCTGTACTGAATTTCATATTTATAGTTGGCTAAAGCCCCTGCCAATAGATATTTCACAGTTTCATCCAGCATTAGCCTTTGTATCAGCCTCCCTGAGCATCTTCATATAGACTGTTACGAGGTTTTTTGAGGGGGGAAGAGGTTAGTGTACTTTGCTGGCACGTGAGGGCAGTGCTGTGATTATTCCGTTGGCACAATGTGTTTTTTTTTCACTCCCTTTCCCCAACTCCCCTTTTCTCTCTCTCTCTCTCTCTTCCTTCCTTCCTTCCTTCCTTCCTTCCTTCCTTCCTTCCTTCCTTCCTTCCTTCCTTCCTCCTCTCTTTCTCTCTTTCTTCAAATAGACATCAAAACTGTCTCACTAGACTCTATAAATACCCATTCAGCTCTCGTTCTGCCCCAAATCTTGCAACCCTATCATCATAGAAGAGTCAATTACTGAAAAAAAAAAATGAAGGAAATAGTTGTGAACCATACAGGTTTTGGTTTTGTTTTTATTATGCAGCATTAAAGTGCGATCAATGTACAATTATAATATTAGTTTTAGTCCTTTAAGTACATTACTGCCTTTTGAAATGATTAAATAGAACAATTTGCAATTCTTCACATAACAAAGAAAAATCCCTTTTAAATTTTAATAAATCTTAGAGCAGGTAAAAACAAGACYTGTAGCCAAGTATTCATTTTACATTAAATATCTGTCATAAGTAGAACTCCCTCACAGCAATGGATTCAATATCTTCAAAATCAGCTCTTTTTACATCTCATTTTGGGATACTGGGTCAAGGCCAAAGTCAACACCTACATGAAGAGCTGTGAACCTGCAGAAAGTATTTGTAAATATTATGCTATTACTTTTGTATGAACTCTTACACAATATAGACCATCAGAAAAAAAAAGAAGTGGCTGAAACTGATTAWTTTTTAAAGACCCAGAATTGAACATACTCTGCTTCCATGATAATGAAAGATTTAGCCACATTAGCCAGATTAACTTGTTTATTGCACCAAAGACAACCCTCAGTATATTGTTATGCTGTTTTCAGTCAACAGTTACACCAGATTCTGTGAGCTTATGAATGAGTTTGAACGAGTGTTCAACAGAGGAAGGAGACAGTCAAAGTGATAAAGTTTAAATTGCAGCTTCTGACACTAACCTTAGGGCTGTYAGGTGCTTTTGAAAACTGTCTCATAACCTAATCATAGAACCAGTTGTTTAAATAAAACACATTCAGCTATCCTTTACTGAAAAGCAAACATACTCATGTAACCAAGGGTGCATTTTACTAGTATTCAATACAGTGCAAATCAGCAAGTGAGTCATAGCTTGAAGATAATGAATATTTGCCAACTATGTTTACATATCAGCAAATACACATGGGCTAGATTTAGAAGGGATTAAGACAGCAAGCAAAAATCTTCAGTAAAAACAAAGATTGAATCRAAGTCTGGAAAAAAGTACTGAGGGATCTGAGGGTTTTTGCACTGTTTTTTAACATTCATATTCAAGTTTTGTTCAATCAGAAAACAGTAAAATCACAGAACAAGGAAAAAGCAGCAAAGAGAGATGAYGCACAATAAGCAAGAATGATAGCAGTAGCATTTACAGCCAAGGCAAATGAGATGAAGGCAGAAGTTTGGGAAAAGGGGAGGGCAAACAGCAGCAGATTGTGTTTGCATTATAATAAGTAGGGATAATAACTGTATGAAGGTTGTTGCTGTTTTAGAGGGACTGTTGCACACCCCATACTTTTAAATGAATTGCTAWAAGTGGATAGATGTGTTAATCCCTGATCATTTTTTCTCTGGGGAGCATCAGTTGGACGTTGGACAGCAATAGAGACCATACAGCACCATCTGGTGCCAGCAGGCACAAACTGCACAGTTTCCACATCCTAACTTCTGGGGGAAATATTTTTACAGCGAGGTTCACAAATACACTAGGGTGAACAGTGGAAGGACGTCCAGGTTTATAGTATGTAGGTGAAAGAACTGGCTGTATAGGTTCTCAAAGCTGAGCCTAACATGAGTGTGCACTGAGACAGACATGACTTTGAAAGGCTTCTGGCTTTTATTCTAGCTTATCATCACCATGTTCTGACTTGAAACCCTTTTYTCCTGCCATCAGACATACCCGTCTCAGGTAAAAATGCATTTGTACAGTTTTGTTCTTCTAAAAGGTACTTTTCAGTGTGAGSAAAACCATCAGTAGAGGCCCAAACACCAGTCTGATAGGTAGTGGTTAAATGTATGTTGCCAGTTCATGGAGCACTAAATYGAGGTGGTTTTGCAGGGTTTGCCAGCATCTGCTGCTAGGCAGCTCTTCTGCAGAGTAACACCAGYTGACAGTGTTTGCTGAACGTGATTGTTGTATAAGGAATTCATATTCAGTTAAACGAAC